TATTTTTCATTATGAGATGCCTAGATGCAGCTTTTCAGTAGATGAGGCATTTTTTTTTGCAAAATAAACAAAAACAAAAAACAAAAAGAAATTCAGCTGGCCATTTAACTATGAGGGAAGTGGCAGGTTTGGGTTGCACCAGAAATTAAAGAAGAAGAACAAAAATGACCAACATTGGAAAAGTTACTTCATTATCACCCGTGACATTGGGAGGCCGGGAAGGGAGGAGGAAATGACCCCATAGCTTGACAGGACTACTACCTCTATTAAGGGATGACACCTTGACCTCTGGAAAAGCTGGACATCTCAGCCCCTTTCCTGATTCTGAAGAAGCAAGATCACAGCTCTTGAGAATTTGCCTCATCCCTTCGTGGTGTTTGGAGCAAACATGTTGCAGCTACGGAAAGGCTTCCAAAGTTGTGTCTTTCGTCAACTTTGGAAGATGCTACAGAACCCGGGCCATTTTGTGATTACTTGGTGATCGAGGAATTATTCCAAGGAATATATTGGGATTCAACTCATCCTAAATTTGTTCTCTCACAGGAGGTGAAATATTCAATGATCTAATGGAATTCAACTGTCTGGGGAAGAAACTCTTATGATTCCAGAACCTTCTTCCTGTTTGCAGATTCTCCCACAATCTCCACCTGACTGTCAAGAAGATTCTAGTAAGAGGTACGTTACTGATGAAGTTGCGAGTGCAACATGGAAATGGATACTCTGGAGGTTTTTTTCCCCCCAAATGCCCCCTTTTTTTTAAAAAAAAAAATCAAGATGTTTTAAAAACCTCCATCTTTTCTTGCAGAAATCACTGCTCTGGGGCTCAATGTGCAAACTTCAAATTCCACAGCTAGGAGACAACCGAAACAATTTGGGATTTCATTTGATCTCTCTCTTCCTTTCTGCAACGCAAGTTGCCCAATTTTCAAACTTTTGTGCAACTTTGGATGCCCCTAACTTTTATTTGGCTTTATGAGCGAGAAACCAAGGCGGCTCCTGCAAATGAAGGACAACTGCAAGACACTTCCAATCTTCCCTGGTTCCTTCCCACGACCGACCGGCCGGACTTCAAAGGAGTGTGTGGAAGAAGCCACCAACTAAATTGAGCATGGCCTGGCGCTGGTCAGCAGGGCATGGAAAAGTTGTACACTTTGGCAAACGCAGGGCAAGGGAAGGGAGCAGCGGGTTCAAACGATTTAAAGGAACAAAGAGGGATCAAAAGTGAATTGATCAAAAAGGAAAAGAGCTAGGTGAACTTTTCTAACTGAGCTGTGATCAAATTGGATCTAGGTCAGGGGTCTCCAACCTTGGCAACTTTTAAGACTTGTGGACTTCAACTCTTCAACTCCCAGAGTTCGCCAGCCAGCTTAAGTCTTAAAGTTGCCAAGGTTGGAGACCCTTGATCCAGAAAGTCATCACCAGAAGCTTCTACCCAGGAGCATCTGATTTTCTTAAAATCCTTGAAGGGACCCAGCCTGGTTCTCATTTGCTACCAGGAGTTGAAGGCCTCGAATCTGTTCCCACCAAAATCCAATCAGCTAATCCTGCAATAATACAGTTCAACTCTAACTGAACTTGCTTTTGCATCTCTGCCAGAGATCTTTCCAAAAAAAAAAAAAAATTTAAAAATCAAAGGTTCTCTGAAGTTCTCTCTCCAGGAGTTTTAGCATGGAGAAAGATCACCACGATGGACCGGAGATCTTGTCCAGAGGTTCTCCACTGTCAAGGAATAATCTAAATTAAATGGCTCAGCAGAATCAAATTCCTTCTCAAGGAATTTGCTCAACCTCCATTGTCTTTTGGAGTGAAGGAGCTCCCTTCGTTGACAAACCTCCAACGGGGTCTGGATGAGGGAACAGGTTCTTGAATCATTACAGAATATTTTAACAGCTGGTTGGGTAAAAGTCTCCATAACCAAATAAAGAGCCCATTTCCAAAAAATTAATGAAGAGCGGTTATTGCTTTTTTCCTACCCCTTAATTCACCCTAAATGAAGAAAACTTGTCATGTCAGATAGAAAATAAATATTGGTAATTCCTAAAGTAAATCTGGTCAACAGTTAAGTAGGACTACGCAGAGCCAGCTGAATTTGATAGACGAGATAAGATACATCACATTCAAGGAAGAATTTGGCTTTTGATTGAACCACCTGAAGGGATGAGGATTTTTCAATGTGCGCCATTTATGTCCTGCCCCAAAACATGGAAATAGAAGCATTAACTAGGACGCGGTGAATTTTGTGTTCATCCCAAGGCCCAAGCCAAAATATACTGCCAGGGTTGCTTTTTGCTATTCTAAAAACTCTTAAATTACACTTCAGTTTATAGTCCAGCATGGTTTGGGAATCTCTAAGTAAAGGAGAAAGACACCAATCATGTCCTGAGTTTTAATGACACGGGATTAAATCACTTTCAGTTATAAAAAGCAAAGTGTGTGTCCCATTGTCTTCCAGATAGACCAGAGGTCTCCAAACTTAGCAACTTTAAGACCTGTGGACTTCAAGTGACCAAGTTTGGGGACCCCTGAGATAGACAAATAGACCTACAAATCTAAAGTTCAGGTCTAAATCCCATTTAATTTAATACCAATTTAATGATAGCCTGCACGTCTCTTTTCGGACATCAGGGTAGCCACGTTTGAAAGCATTTCAATGTTCTTAAGATAAAGCTCCAGAGATGAAGGAGAACAATTCTGCCAGGAAGTCTAAACATGAGGAACGTTGAGAAGATTGGACTTTCAAGTTAAGAGGGCCTTCTTTATCAGAACTGGGCAGAAAACTACCTTGGGTTTGTCAGTGTGGTTTAACCCAATGGCTCAGAAGAACAAGGACCAAAGTATAGCCCAACATCTAAGAGGCCTTCCCCTTTTCCCACCCCAGAACCAAGGAGGATGTCATCGAACAATGGGCGAAAACTTCTCAATTAGCCAGGAAGGAACAAGCACACTCTCTGATGTTTGGAGTCACCATGGCTTAAAGCAGGGGTCTCCAACCTTGGCCACTTGAAGACTTGTGGGCTTCAAGTCCCAGAATTCCCAGCCAGCATGTCCAAGTTTGGAGACCCCCCTGCCTTAAAGGAAGTTAATTTTGGGGGAAAACCACCACATCGTTGCTTGTTTGATTTTGAGAAACAAAACAAAACAAAACAAAACAAGATGGCCATTATCTGATCAAAGCCCCTCCCCTTTTCAGAGGTGCAAGGCATGTGCGGGGGGGGGGGGGGAAGGGGGCGGGGCATCAATCATACAATCGTGGCCACCATCTTGAATGCTTCGCATTTCTCTGCCAAGCAGAATGTCAATCTCTTTTATTTTTGTTTATTGAGGGAACGGAATGAAAGCGAGCTTTTCCAGGAAGGGAACACACAACTCAAAAAAGCAAAATTCCACCGAAGAGAGAAAAGAGAGGGTTGCCTTTTTTTTTTTTTTTTTGCTTTTTTAACTCCCAAGGAGAGAAAATTAGCACGGCAATCTCATTTCACGAGATTCATCGAGACTCCTGTTCAGCAGGGCCCTTCCAGAAAGGCCAAGGGTCGTAATTAAAATGGCTGATTTAAAAGGGAATGAGCAACTATTCTGAAGGGGGGGTGGAGACCCCCCCCCATGGTAAATTAAAACACTGCTGGGTGGTGGGAGTAGTGGAGTGCATGTGTTAGGTGTAGCAAAGTCTCCGAGTGCAACAGAAGGAGAACACGCTTAGCTAAAAACAACCACGTAAAATCTGTTTCCCAACTTCGACAGCCTTCAGGTCTCCCTCTTTTTTTAAAAAATAATGTTCCAAATGTCATATTTTGGAGGGGGGTGGGGTGGGCAATGAAGGGGGAGAAACAAAATATTCCTTCGATCCTTTAAAAATAGTTCTATGAAACTCTGGTAGAAAACGAGCTTCTATGAAATTTCCTATAAAGAGGAGAGGTAAAATGACTGCTGAAAAGCACAAGACGGGACTGGCCGAAGACTGAAGATAAAATCAGGGTTGTCCTGAGGCCGTGGTCGACCAAGTCAAAAGACGGGGAACCTTTACGGTGGGGATCCAAAATCCACCCATCTTTGATTGACTCCCTCCTCTGAGCTCTTCAAATCCCCAGCTGAAGGACGACCGCGGCAGTTGTGTAAAACGTGACGTCTTCTTTTGAAACAGATCGACAGTTCAAGTAAGAGATCAAAAACGGCTTCTTTGAATTAGATATATAGAAAGTTAAATACTTGCTTCTTAACCGCTGGGCTCGCTGACATGCATTTTACAGAGATGTTACCGGAAGGAGCAGCAGGGGAAAAAAAAAAAAAAGAACACCAAGAGGGCCTCCCAAATTTGCAACACTCCACGAGGAAATCTGCCTCGGAAACCGTCTATGGGAGGAGAACTTTCTAGAAGAGTGAAAAACCGAAGAGATTACATGTGGTATGGAATCAAGAGTCGGGCCCTATTAGGGGTTCCCTTGGAATTTGTCCCAAATGATGCCAAAAATGATTTTTTTGAGGTGCGAGACCCGCTGAATTTCTGCCTTCCTCCAGCAGCAGAATTTCGGCGCCTCCGAAGGACACTGTTGGAGCAGGCGGGCCTTACGCACGGAAGCCGCTCAAATCAACATCCGATCCAAAGAAACAAGAAAGGCGGGTAGGAATTTTCGACTGAGGAACAAACGGAAGAAGAATTTCTTTGAGACTCCAGCGACATCTCACCATCCCCCTCAAAGCTGAGGAAAAGAACTGCAGCGTTTTGGGAAAAAAAAGCCGCGTTCTCGAAGACCTGAAAGCTTTTTTTTTTTTTTTAATTTAAAAAATTAAAAAGCAAGCGAGGAAAAACAACCAAACAAACCAACGAACACGTAGGCAGACGAATATTCGTTACTCTGCAAACCTCAGAGGTAGGCCTTTGGTTTTTGCTTGTCCATGTTGAGAGAAACTCCTTGTTCGCCACCGTTTCCAGCCTGGAAGTTTCAGGAAAAAGTGCAATCAACAACCCTTCCCCCTCCCATCTCCCCCCAAAAAGCCTTCCCCCCCCCAAAAAAAACAAAACCCAAGGGAATCCATCCTTGAAGAGACTGACGATGGAGATTCCCCAAGCAGCTTTGTCGCAAAGGAGGACATTTAAGGACATTTAAATGCCACTAAGCTGGGAAAAAGAAAAATCGAAAAATTCAAATTGACCCAGTTTGTGGGTTATCAATAGTCACTACCTTTACCCCTCCCTCCCCGCAGCCCTGGTTCTTTTTCACACTATCCCAAACTGGCTGAAATTCTCTTTCCTTCCACCAAAACAGCTTCTATGGATCCAGGTTGCCTGGGGTCCTAAGTGAAAAAATGACCCCATCAGCCTGAGGGTTTTATTTTTATTTAAAAATAAATAAATGAACACGCGCTCCCACTGTTCACTCCGCTGCAATAATTTCGCATAAAATTGGGGGCGAAAATAGCAGTGACTCCCAAAATAATGAGTTCCAGGCCAAAGTTCAAAAGAGGAAGAGGAGGGGGAGGGAACACCCCCTCCCCCAACCAAGGAAAGCTGTCGATTTTAATATTGCATCAATTCTACAAATGCACACATTTCAACCAGCTGCAATTGATTGTCTTAAGAAAAACCACACGGCCTGATCAAAATAAAAGCTGTTTTTTTCCTGGGGGGGGAAAAAAATGCCGAAGTAAGAACAGCTTAATTTAAATCCCAAACTGTCCAATTGTCAAAAAAATAATGAAATGTCCAAATGAATAATTGGCACGGGGAAGAAAAAAAAAAAGAGAGAGAAAAGGAACGCCATGACTTTTAAAAACCCCAAAAACAGAAGGATGTTTTCCTGCTTGTTGATTTAAAAAAAAACATCTCGGAAATCCGAAAAGTGTTTCTCTTCGTTAAAAACACCTCTAAGAAACAGAGATTTTTTTTTTTCCCCTGGATGGTAGAGAAAGCAGTCAGCACGAAAATTCTCCGAGCTCCGCAATTGCGCGAAAGGACCTTTCTCCCCCGTAAAATCCCCTGCTGCAAATTAAAACAGCGGGAAGCCGCCCCGCTAAAAATTCAAAATGTTGCTTTGAAGGATGTTCTGGGTTTTGCATCTGGATTGCTTGGAATGTGTGTGAGAGGCCGGGACGCCTTCACACCGCTGACTCGCTTTCCACCTCTGGCGCAGCTGGATCTTTTCCGCGGCTGAGTTTGATCACCGTCGGTTTCTCCTCGCTCCCACCGCTGTTTTCGGCTGCGGCAGGTGGGGCCAACGCCTTCTGCTCTTCCTTCAAACTCTCCCCAACATCTGGGTAAATCACCAAGAAGGTGGCCGTCAAGAAGCCCAGGAAAGAGCCCACGGATGCCACGACAGGGATGACCCGGACGGTGCCCACGGCATCCACCACACCTCCCAGGGCAGAAGCTACCAGGATCTGGGAGATGTAGACCTGGCACGACAAGATGGCACAATCGATGCCAAAACCTCGCTTGGAGTTGCCAGGGCTGTGATGGATGTACTGCGAAAAAGAAAGAGCACAAAAACAAAACAAAAAGACAAGTCAAGGTTTGCACTGGTGGTGCAGAGGTGGGAATGCAGTACTGAAGGCTATTTCTGCTGACTGCCGGCTGCCAGCAGTTCGATCCTCACCAGGCTCGAGATTGATTCAGCCTTCCATCCTTCCAAGGTGGGTAAAATGAGGACCCAGATTGGTGGGGGCAATAGGCAGACCCTGTAAACCGCTTAGAGGGCTGCAAAGCACTGTGAAGCGGTAGATAAGTCTAAGAAGGAATGAAGGAAGGAAGGAAGGAAGCAAGGAAGGAAGGAAGGCAGGCAGGCAGGCAGGCAGGAAGGAAGGAAAATAACATCTGAAAGAATGGGAGGAACAAAGGAAGATAACATCTGAAAGAATGGGAGGAAGGAAGGGGAGAGGAAGGAAGAAAGGAAGGAAGGAAGGAAGGCAGGAAGGCAGGAAGGAAGGAAGGAAAATAACACCTGAAAGAATGGGAGGAAGGAAGGGGAGAGGAAGGAAGGAAGGAAGGAAGGAAGGAAGGAAGGAAGGAAGGAAGGAAGGAAGGAAGGAAGAAAGGAAGGAAAATAA